TTTTTAGAGCTCGAAATCCAATCTTTTTTTTACAACCATAATTTTCAAGCTGAGATGATTGATGTAAAGGATTTCGAATGGCTGGATTGCAAATCTTTTTATGAGTTATGAGGAGAGGCTTTAGTTATATTTTAATCGGGCTGCAGTCCTATCAAACCATTTTTCTTTTTTTTTTTTATTGAAGGAAAATATTCAAGAAAGGCAGATGTATTTTTGTCGTTAAAAAAATATATATGTAGGTAGCGTGATATTTGAAGCCGTACTAAAAGTGTTGGAGGTGGAAAAGCCATCTAGCAATTGGCTCATGGGGCCTCACCTAAAAAGGCAAAAGCAAAAAGAATTTTACTTTTGGGCCAATTTTTATTAATTGAGGAAAATTAGACATCTGTTTTATTCTTCTCCTCAGAGCTCAGTAATTCGTTGATCTAGAAAAAAAGATTAAAAGTGTACAGGGGCAAGGAATTTTTTAGATACTCCTCGATTGAACTCTTTATCTCAACCCTTGTGCATATGGCCTCAAATTCCATGGCATAATCAATAGGATAAAAAGAGGAACCAAAGCATTGAATTCGTATTTGAGAGAACAAAACAAAATCTTTTGTCAAAAAAAAAAAGAAACAAAAGGACAACAAAAAAGTCATTTGTTGAAATAAGTATACAATGGACTATTTCAATGATCTCGCAGAGTATGTCATATATTTACTCCCTCGGGCAAAAAATACTACTAATCCGGTTTCTTTTTAATTCGAGACTTTGATATCCACTTTAGAATTCGATTTTGACCATTTAAATTAAGAAAATATCTAAAAAAACCATTTACGTTTAGTATAAAGATATCATAATCACTCTTGTCAATCAGATTTTAAATCGGGTTGTTAGGAGTGTGTAATTAAATAGACTCAAACTTCCATTTTTTCGTTTTGAAGTTTATGTCACAACCCAAACTATCCAATTTGACATCGAATCGCTAGAAGCAATTGTGACCTCTTGTAAAATAAATAAATAGTCTTATAGTACCTTTTATTCAATTTTAAGAGCATATTTTTTAAGCACATATTAAATATCTTTTTTTTTATTATTATTTAACATTTGGTCACTAGGTTGAGGATGTTAAATCCTCAAAACTTGTGGCTTTAAAATATCTGAGTTTTAGTCGAGGAAGACATGAACGATGTGCTCCAATTGGAGCAGGGCCGGCAACAGTCGGGGTCTAGGCGGAACCGGCCCATTTCCAGCCCAATCCGAGAGAAAGGGCCATAGGCCCCCTATCCTAGACCTAGCCTAGGGGCTTGGCTATGTGGGTTGACACTGCCATGGCCCTGTTGGGGCCTAGCCAGCCATAGAGGGGACAAAGCTCCAAGTCCTTCCCATTTAGTTTTGCTGAAATTTAGGTCTAGACTTATTAAGATAGTCGAGGAGTAAAATATCTTACTCGTAATTTGGAGAGCCAGGCGAGATCCTCCATTGAAGTCCACCAAAACCGGCGACTTTTGGTTGATTGAGGCATCAGAAGCAAAGAGCATTACATGTTACCACAGGAGTATAATGTACACTTAATACAATGTAACCTCTTTAACCTGGCGACCAACCTCCAAAACACAATGATATGCATTCTAGATTGCCTGAAAAAATAACTTCACACACATAGTTAATCTATGGGCTAACAAAACTGGAATAGCTGAACCACCCAATTTGAATTTAGGCCAATTTGAAAAAAAAAATTTATTTTAAAATATTTTTTATAAGTATGATAGACTTGAAATTTCAAGGGTATGTGAATGTGAACAATAAAAATTAAAAGTAGTAACAAAAATTTGACCAAAATACCCCTCTTTTTTACCAATAAATGTGGGGGTATTTATTTTTATTTTTATGTATTATTATATTTATTTTGCGGTGCACCTTGACGCATATGTCAAAAAAGCTTTAGATCAAATACATTTATTGAAAAATTTAAAATCGAACAATATCCATACACACTAGTTGTCCAATCGATCAACATTGTTTCGTTGATATATAAGCTAACAAAATCATTTCACTGACATAAGCATTTTGTGATTTTAAAAGGGATTGTCTACATAGGGACCATTTATCTTTTGTTCAAAGAGATCACAATCATTCTTTCTCATCAGATGTCAAATTGGATGGCTTGGGGTGAGTTATGAAATCTGAGATTTTTTTTTGGAACTTTATGTCTATTCGATGACACTCTTACAACTATCCATTTTGAAATTTAAAATACAAGAATGATTGCGATATCCATTTACAAAAAATAAATTGTTTCTTTGTAGATAATCCCATTTTAAAATGGGTTAAAATTTTCATATAAAAAGATCCCCACATCTTTGTCTTTCCGCAGAAGAAGTAAGTGTACAATTTGCTCCTGGGGGTACACAAGACAACCTTGTGATAGAAATAAACAATTTCCTTTCAAGTTCCAACCGCCTTGATCATGCCAATCCAATCCTATTTAGTAGTGATTACTATCTTTACATGAACTTTTAAGTAAAATAAACCAGCTCAAACCACATGCTCAATTCATTATCCCTTTCTTAGTTGTGTTGGACCACCTCCACATGAAAAAATTAGTCATTTACCCTCAAATTCATAGGTGGGCAGTTATGGTGGGTGGGTGGCACCCCACCTGATCAGTACCTTGTACACAAGGCTATACATACATTGAGCTTGTGAGAGATGTGGGTCCATAATCCATATAGAATGGTTTCCAAACAGTTTTAGAAAATTTGAAGTATTATACTCTACTTAGAGAATATGAGTAGTATAGTCCAACATGAGAAAATAATCATAATGCTCAGGTCTGATCTTCTATCCAACAATAAAATGCATGAGGGCATGTTACACTTGGGCGTAGATCTCTTTCTCTCTCTAAAGAACTCTTCCATCCTTATTCATATAAAGAATGTACTAACAAACTAACAAGCCAATAGCCGATGGTGCTAACCAGTGTTCGAAAAATTGAACCGGCCCCGGAAACCAGCCAAGGGCCGGGTCTGAGTAATCAATAAACCAGCTAGTTCAATCGGCCTAATCGGGTAGGTGCCGGCCAATCCAAAGGGTGTTAAAAAAAAGAAGAAAGTATATTTAAAGCGTGATTAAACAAAGCACATCTCTGTGTCCAGTGGTATTTTGAAGTTTTCTAAAAAATAGGAAAGTATAAAAATAACTAATAAGTATTTATGGCTAAAACACTTTTCAATCCTTTGCCAAAATGATAAAAAACATTAAAAAAAAGGCATTACAAACAAATCTTTTATTTTTTGAGATTTTATATTTTTTTGAATTTTTTTAAAATACTTGAGCGGAACACCAAAATCAGATCGGGCAGTGCACTGTTCCGGTTTGAACCGGCCAGTTCCGAGTTGGACCGGCCAAGTTTGCGAACACTCGTACTAACTATGTCCTCTTGTAGTGCTCATAGGATACCATACTGTTCATGTGCTACAATGTGGACTACTCTGAATGAGTGGAAATTTGGGGTCGGGTATACTGGTTTTCGGCCTTTTGAGCCGAGTTTGGGCCATAGCGCCCGGTTCACTGTCTTTTGGGCAACACTATGCTCGCCTTAACTTAAAACAAAGTTCAGATTAGCCACCCTGGTCTTTTTTGTTAGAACATTGGACTGGTTCCGACCATGCATAGGTTTGGCTGTTAAAGGTTGCATTGGACCACCAAAATACGTACTTATATTGCAAAAACTAGATAAGGCTCCTGCATGTGTCTTAAGGGGACCACGATAGTGCTTCATAACCACCTTCCTTGTGTCTCATTGCTCGATCGTATATAGCCAAATAACGACAGGGCTAAACAAATGTACTCCTTTTTTTCTTTTTCTTTTTTCTTGATATGTTAACCGTTGGAACGGAGGGTGGGACGTTATGTTGAGGCATCAGCCTCAACCTTATGATGCTGTATCGGACATTTACGGCTTGCTGTTTTGGCCCGGCCCACCCAGCCAAAGCCAAGTCTCAGCTCAGACCTTGTGGCTTCAAGGCCAGGGATGGGCCAAGATTTCCCAGCATGGTTTTTGGACCAGACGGTGATTCATTTCTCAACCTCGGGCTAGAATCAATAGAAAGGGACCGGGTGCAGCCTTGCCGTGCCAACCGGCTTTGCCTTGCCCAACCCTGAGCTGGTCTATGTTGTACTTTGCATATCTGATTAAGTGATGGACTAGATTAGGCCAGTGTTTCAAGAATTGCATATCTAATAAATCGAAGAGTCCCAGAATCGACGAACCACCTGATTTTTTAGTATACTATTATTATTTTATCTATACATCTCGGTCCGACTCAAGAATCAACAGATTCAGGCTAGAGAATCCGAATCGGACTCCTGAAAAGAGTCAAAGCCCGATTCGAATTTTAAAAACAATGATTAATACCTAGATTTCTTTGCAAGTACTGTATTTTGAGAAAGGGGCTCATTTGTATTTACATGAGCCTAGCTTTTCCATACCAAGAGTTCATGGTACTCCTCTTTTTAAAATAAGAGTATTAATGATCCCCCAATTAAAAAAAAATGATTCAATCCACAACTAAGATCACGAATAAATATAGGGAGACTTGGTGTTTCTAGAATGGGTGTTTTAAGTCATATGTCTCTCTCTCTCTATCAGTAATACTAAATATTTTTTACATACTAAATTAGTTATCCATTTCTTGCTACCCGTACAAAAACATTCCTCTCTCCCATATCTTTCCCTTATATTTATTCCTTTTTCTTCCATCTCATGTCATAGATCTACGATTGAGATATACGATCATAACCTAACCTGATAATCTCTACCGTACATTTTTGCAGCTAAGGATCTAGACCGTTCGATGTGACTTCTGGCCCACCGTGTCAAACGACGTACAGTTGCACGTGCTATACGTCGCCGTTTCTGGTTAAGCTAACCGATCCAGGTTAGCTTTCTCTCTCTACTTTCTCTCACTAAACTTGCTGTTGCCTCTATATATAAAACAAGTTTTTACAGGACCTCACTCAAACTGATGCTCGCTTACGACGCTCATGTGCGTTTACTCTTTGTAAGCTTGTATATTTTCTCTCACTAAACTCCCCAATTCGTTAAAAACTGTTTGCTGCTCGTTTTCTTCTTGCATTTGAAGCTTTCTCTCACTTCAAAACAAACCTTCACTCTGGTTCGAGCTTGAACCTTATCCAGAGCAAAAGAAACGGGTTCTTTCTCGCCCTTTTTTTACTCTTGGATCCTGGGTGATTGATGAGACTCTAGCGAATCGGCTCCACTCTTTTCACTACTCAGGAGGTTTCCTAGAATATCAGTCTTAAGTACAAAATGCTCTGGTTTTGAGCAAGAGCTCTGGTTTTTTATGGGGGAGACTCAACTCAGAAACAAAAATGACAGGGTTTTCCTCTTATTTGTAGGAGTCCAAAGCAGTTTCTTTTGGGTATTTGAAATTCCTGATCCCCTCTCAATCTCGCCAAGTTTTCTAGAGAGAGGAGGGCTGGAAGTTCAGTGAGCCCAATTTCTAGAGAGAGAAACTGTTCCCCCTGTTTCTAGAGAGCGACTTGCAGGCACTTCGCTCATCCCCAGTTTCTGCACACACGAAGAAGCACAGGAAGTTCAGCAACTAATCTCGTCCTTCATTTCTAGAGAGAGAGAGAGAGAGAGGGACAGGGAGATTTCTGGTAATCTGTTCTCTCCATCCAAATTGCAATTGCTAAAGAGAAGAGAACTGCCCAATTCCAATTTTTAGAGAAAGAGCTGCTGGCAATCTAATCTCCCCACCCCAATTGCAATTTCTAGAGACAAAAGATGATAACATGGAAGGATCTATACAAAGTCCTGACTGCTGTAGTCCCGCTCTATGTGGCCATGATCCTCGCCTATGGCTCTGTTCGGTGGTGGAAAATCTTCTCTCCTGATCAGTGCTCCGGGATCAACCGCTTCGTTGCGATTTTTGCGGTCCCCCTCCTCTCCTTCCATTTCATCTCAACCAACAACCCCTACGCCATGAACCTCCGGTTCATCGCAGCTGATACTCTGCAGAAGATCATCATGCTCTTTGTTCTTGCTTTGTGGACCAATCTCACTCGAGCCGGCTGTCTCGAGTGGATGATCACCATCTTTTCTCTTTCTACCCTGCCCAACACCCTGGTCATGGGCATCCCCCTCCTCATAGCAATGTATGATGAGTACTCAGGGAGCCTCATGGTCCAGGTTGTGGTGCTCCAGTGCATCATTTGGTATACCCTGCTCCTCTTCCTCTTCGAGTACAGGGGAGCCAAGCTTCTCATAATGGAGCAATTCCCTGACACCGCCGGCTCCATAGTCTCTCTGAAGGTCGATTCCGATGTCATGTCATTGGATGGTCAGGAGTTCCTGCAAGCCGATGCCGAGGTAGGAGATGATGGCAAGCTCCATGTCACAGTGCGTAAATCCACTTCTTCGTCAAGAAGATCACAGGGTCTCGGTTCTCTGCCCTCTCTCACTCCTCGGCCCTCGAATCTCACCGGGGCCGAGATTTACAGTCTGAACTCATCACGGAACCCAACCCCACGAGGGTCCAATTTTAACAATTCGGATTTCTACTCGATGATGGCGGGGCCTCGACACTCCAATTTCGCCCAACCCGACCTCTACTCATTGCAGTCATCTCGAGGGCCAACACCTCGGCCATCAAATTTTGATTACCCTTACAATTCTACGACTGCAACACAGAAGAATCAAGGTGGTGGTGTTCATTTTGGGATCGAAAATGGGAATGGAGGGAATGGGAGCTCTGGTTATCCAGCTCCGAATCCCGAAGTTTTCGCTTCTTCGAATGTGAATTCGAAGCCACTACACTCGAGGAGAGGGGGCTCTGATCAATTGTTGCAGCAACCAAGATCTCCACAAAGGAGTGCCAATAACAATAGGGAGAGCCATAGTCAAAGTAATCACCATGATGCAAAGGAATTGCATATGTTTGTGTGGAGTTCGAGCGCGTCCCCGGTTTCTGAAGGTGGTGGGTTGCATGTGTTCGGGGGGCCGGATTTCGCCAGGAATGAGCAGCCGGGGAGAGGGAGTGACCATGGCGCAAAGGAGATCAGGATGTTGGTGTCTGACCACCTCCCCAACGGGGAGACTAAAGGTCAGGCCTCTCTCTCTCTCTCTCTCTCTCTCTCTCTCTCTCTCTCTCTCTCTCTCGTCGTCGTCGTCGTCGCGTACGTACGTACGTACGTACGTACGTCGTCGTACGTCGTCGTCGTCG